GTGTCACACCAACTATTACCTCTGGAAACAGTAAACCGAAGGGTAAGAAAGAGGGGAGAGCGACTTGTTTCCCGTTTTTCATGTACCCCAGACTGGGTGGCAAGACAAGTGGATTTCCGGGGCACTGCATCTTCTCAAGCAGCCTGGACTCTTTGAATATAATAGCTGCGAATAAAGTTTCAAGATACAATTGCTATTTGTCCATTCATTCTTGCATTAACTATAATCTCACTGACGGTTTACCACATGCCAAGCAGTGAGCCTGGAATACAAAGCAGGTAAGGCACGGAGCTCCCAGTCCAACGGGATCCGAGGGAACACAGGGCAACGAGTTGCCACCGGGGCCCCCACTGTGGTCCCACAAAGAGGCAGAGGGCTCGGAGGGAAGGCGCGTCGTGAGGACGAGCGCACCAGGGCCGGGTGGGCAAGGGCTCCACAAAGACCTGCTTGGGCGGGGAAGGGGCAACTGAAAGCATTGGCCAGGCTGGAGCACGGGCACTGGGTGAAGCTGGGCATTACAGCCATGGGGCTGGAGCATAGGTGGAGCCACCTGATGGAGAGCCCGGCGCCTCCCTGGAGAAAGACGGGCATTTACGCTGGACGCACAGGGAGACGGAAGGGGAGCGAGGCAGTAATCAGTCTCCCTGGTTGTAGAGGTGAGTGGGCTGAAATGGTGCGAGGCCAGAGGAGGCTGTTGATTGTGTAATGAGCCATAGCTAAGGGGCAGGAGGGATGCCCCGAAACAAGCAGGGGAAGGCCACAAACAATCTCTCTCCTCGGTAGAGGGCGAACAGGAACATACTACATTGCAGCTAACTTACAACTCCAATACCGTTATAAGCCCACTGTCTTCCTGAGAACAGGCGCCCCTGCCCGAGTTTTGCTGTTTCTCTGCCTCTCACTGCCCGAGAAGCGGTGAGCCAGATCCCCCAGTGGAGAGCGAGTGTCCCTCCTGCTGGGCCAGATGCCCCCAGTGGAGAGCGAGTGTCCCTCCTGCTGGGCCAGATCCCCCAGTGGAGAGCGAGTGTCCCTCCTGCTGGGCCAGATGCCCCCAGTGGAGAGCGAGTGTGCCTCCTGCTGGGCCAGATCCCCCCAGTGGAGAGCGAGTGTCCCTCCTGCTGGGCCAGATCCCCCCAGTGGAGAGCGAGTGTCCCTCCTTCTGGGCCAGATCCCCCCAGGGGAGAGCGGGTGTCCCTCCTTCTGGGCCAGATCCCCCCAGTGGAGAGCGAGTGTCCCTCCTTCTGGGCCAGATCCCCCCAGGGGAGAGCGAGTGTCCCTCCTTCTGGGCCATTCAGTTCACTGTTGCTAAGAGGGAATTTTCAAAATAAACAGAATAATTATGAAATATGTTTATTTTCAATTATGTTTGTGTATTTACACATGTGTATATATACCTGCATGTCTATATGTCTAGATTTATTCTCACACACATTTTATGAAATAAAGAGTTTATGGATGTAACTTATCAATTCATAATTTTGCTATTCATCTATTCAGTTATGCTTGACTGAACAGGTATCCTGAATATGTAAAATAATGTAACTGAGACACTTTTAAGTGCATCAAATATTTGACAGCTTTAACATTATTTGATAGCAAATAAAATCATGATTTTCAAAATACAGGTTTTGAAAGGAAAACACCTTTCTTCATTTTTATGATCATTCAGATTTAGAAGGGAATTTTTATAGATAGATATAAAATTCACATTATTAAAAGGCAAATCTATGTTGAAATATGTACTAAAAGCCCCCTTTCTATTTGCCCACCTTTCATTTTGTACTTTGCAGGACGTCCTTCGGAACGGCCGACAGCGTCAGGTGACTCTAACTCTTTCTTTTACTCTCCTGATGAAGAGTAGGGTGTGGAACCGCCCCGGCTTGTCTCGGAATCCGGGTCTGCAGGTCTCGGTGTACCGAGACAGTGGACTCTTCAGTTAGATTAGTCTCCACAGGCATGAGTGGCCCTGATGGCCCAGTGTGCCCTCTGCCGCATCCCGGCGGGGCCTGAGCAATCTGTTCCGCTCTCCAAACCCCTGTGAGGCCGAGAGATGCTATCACAGTCGAGTCAACTGCGGCGGTTTTCCTCAGCGCCCATCACCTTGCGCTAGTCAACGTCTTGCACTATTAACTGAGCAGCCGTGATGACGCACACGGTACCAGCTGCTAAAACAGTGTTTGTGTTTTGAGATGTTGATTCTCTTGGAAAGAACTGCGACCGTGATGGGGTCGCTCCTCAGGCCTGGTGGGGGGACGGACGGTCCCAGGAGGGAGTCCTGACTCTCACCACACTTTCCACAGCATCCGGGCTGGCCTCCTGCGCTGAGGACCCGGAGGACGACCTGCACACACCTGAGCTCACCTGCCCGCGGTCTGCTCTCTGCCTGCTGCCCGAGGGGTCACAGGGCCCGGCTGCGTTTTCTCCTCTCCATCCCGGCGTGCCTGCGATACTGGTCCACACCAAGCGGAGCCCGGCTGCCCTCACTTGGCCTAGCAATGCAGAGCCCTTGGGAAGAAGGCTGTAGGGTGGGCCAGCTACTGCCCTGATCACCCTGGTCTCTGAGACTGCTGAGGGCCCTCATAACAAGTGTCTACGAGTCGCGCATCCGTGTGGCTGGAGAGGCAGGAGGGAGGCAGGAAGTGCTGGCAGAGGAGACCGGGGACTATAAGTTAGTTGTGTTCACTCCTTCATTCACTCAAACATTCATTCTGCAAATACTCGTTGGGCATCCCAACACTGCCCTGCACTGTCAGACCACTGAGGCCACAGTCTGGACGGGACAGCCATCACCTTCAATGCCCGGCAGGAAGCCCTGGCAGAGCGAGAAGAACCATGCGCTGCAAGCACAGTCCTCAGTCTTGGGGAGTCGTGGAGGGCTTCAAGGAGGAGACATCCCAGACTTGAAGGAGGGAGAAGGCTGCTGAGAGGGAGGGGAGGGGAGAGAGAGCGCACGCAGGTGCATGCCAGTCATGGGGAAGGAGACCCTCCCGCAGGTTCCTTCAGATTTCCAAATAATGGGGTGAACCATGTGAAATTGCCATTTTTCTATGTCAACAACGGTCTAATATCGGAACTCTCACACGGTTCGACCTAACACTTTCCTGGGTAATCTCTCTTTCCCAGTTCCCCTTCTAAATTAGTTTCTCTCCAGGAGAAACACGTGGCGTGGGGAAACACAAGAGAAGAGGACCCCTGGTGCAGGCGGTGACGGACGGCACCGAAGGACACACAGAGGCCACAGGAAGAATGCCACGAGCCCAGGAAGGTGCTCAGGCTGCACCTCGGGGCGGCGGGGATGTGCAATGGCCAGGTTTGCATTCTAAGATGCTCACTGCAGACCACCTGGAGAAAGGGCCACCCTGGAGACAGAAAACCATGGAAAAGCGGCCGCTCCAGTTCCTCGGTGAGAGAAGACAGACCACACTGGCATGGCGGATGTAGGTGCGGGGACACCGAGAGGCCAGGTTGGCAGGACTCAGTAACTGACTCTAACCAGGATGAGGAAAGGGAATGGGTGTGTCCGTGGTGGAGGGTGGAGGACCAGGCACATGACGGCTGATCACGGGGCTGGACGCCCGGCAGCAGGAGCTGGGAGGGACGAGGATGAGTCCTCATCTTCACATCAGTTAAGATGACATGATAAGAACAGCGAGGACCAGAAGAAGCAGGAGGCCAAAGGAACCAATGTGGGCTGGCTGCCAACTATGCGCGTGATTCAAGGTCAATGTTTAATAAAACCCAAACACCGACCCTAAGGCTGTGCCCTTCCTTCACTCTTAGAGCAAAAGAAGCTGAAGGTGAACATTTACCTGAAGTTTGGCAGGTGTTAACACCCATGCTCTTAGAACGGCAACCTGCTGCCGCATAACCTGAAGGGACACAGGGATGTACTGTGCTTATGGCTCAAGACTGGCATTCACAGCAGCGATCAGGAGGGACATGCAGAAACCTGCCTTGGGACAGGAGCGGAGGAGGCAGACTCAGAGCAGCACACCTGACCAGGTGAGCATCCTACTTTCTAAGGAGGAGAGGCATCTCCTTAGAGGGTGCCGCTTACCCACAGGCCCTCCTGCCCCAACACTCTCTACTGCCCGCCTTCGGATAGCCTCCCCACGTCCGGGGCACTGGGGCAGGGGCTATCCGCCGGCCGTCAGAAGAACCTGCTCTCCAAGCGTCAGAGTAAACCCTATGGCACCGTGCTAGCCCTGCGGAGCAGAGCCACCTAGCAAGGCAGCCCCTCTGAGCATCTCTGCAGGGAGAAGCAGCACTTCAGCCCGGGGCGTCGTCTTAAAAAAGGTCTAAGGCGTAGCCTATTTAAAAGAGTTATTTAATAATCTCCAAAATAGTAGCAGAACGTCTCCATAAAGCGAGATGGGTCCCCGGGCAGCAGCACATTTTCCATGCTCAGACTTGTTTCCTTAATGAGGAACAGATCCTGGTGGCTGGGGTCTGTTTCACGAGTACACGTCCACAAAACCAGAAACATCTCGGCAGGCCTCAGTGTCCCTGACGCTTCTCAAATTTGAATCCCTAATTGGGTTAAAATGTTTCTGAAAAGCAACCCGGAATCTTCACGCTGGTTTTGAATCAGGATGCAAAACAGAACCTGAGATGTGCATTCTTTATGGTCGAAGCTGGGGCAAAACCCGCAACACACCCCTGCAAGTACGAAAAAGAGAACAACAGACCAAGGCCTGGGGCTTGAATCTGACAAACCAGAGAAGGGTCTTCTTTTCATGGAACATGAGAATGATCTGTGTTCTCCCCCACACTTTCAAGCACGCTAGCCTATTTACGCTTTACGAGAGGAGAAGCGGGGGGGATGGATGTCTGTGGGACACCCGCTTCTTCCGTCACAAGATTCAAAGGACCCCTTTCGCTGCGTTCCTTGGCTAGTTCATCACAGAGGCTGGCCGGCCTCTTTCTTCGCTCTCACCAGATGCCGTTTGGATACAGCATCCAGATGTGCACGGGCCATGAAACGGGGCCACTGGCCTTACCTGCGCAGCTTCTCCTCGAGCACATCCCTGTACTGCACGGCGTTCTCCCTCACACTGGTTTCTGCAAAACAAAAACCCGAAGTTGATGCAAAGACTGAACAAAACCCAGAACTACTCAACTGAAAGCCAAACGCCACCAGATCTTGGTCAAACCGCTAATAATAACAACATCCTGTGTTTGGAAAACACTTGAAGCCGTCGGAGCGGCTGCGTGAAGTGAAGCCCGAGGCCCCCGTGTCCCTGCAGGAGTCCAAGCTGGAGCAGGGTCTGCAGAGCAAGGCCGCCCCCCTTGCCCTGTGGTTCAGAAGGCAGCTCACCAGGGACGGCATGGACCCCCTATGCTCTATTCCTCTCCCCTTGCCCAGCGGGTGGCCAAGCACCTGGCTGTGGAGTACAGGAAGAGAACAGGAGCGAGGGACAACTCCCCTCCTACGGATGAACCAGAGGACCCTCTCCAGTGCAAACAAGGGGTCGATCGCAGACCCTCTCACTGGAAGACAGACAGGAACGGGTCCTGCCAGTGAGTGGACATCAACTCTCAGCCTCCGAAGCTGCGAGACCAGCTCCCACCGGAGAAGAGCTCAGTGCCTCGAAGTCACAGATGCTGAAGGAAGGAGCGGTTGTGACGAGACCAAAGAGGCCCTTCGCCAATCAGAGAAAACTTGGTGGGTTTCGGCAAGCTCAGATGCCCTGTTTCCTCCTCCTGGCAACAACGGGCTTCCCCTCCAGGTGATCACCAACGCATGGTCAGTGTGAGTGCCCAGGAGAGCCGGCGGCAGCAGAGAGGTCCCCATCAGGTCATTGCCATTACTGATGTTGTTGCCATTTCTGTAATTACTATTATCATTGCTATTATGTACTTATCATGACTTCTATCCCACTGATTCTCAAAGATAATTGATGCTGAAGGGCTCATTACCACTCTGAAGTTGGGGTACATAGCACAAGCCACGCTGCCCAGAGTCTCTGCCTGGGGGGCTCTCAGGACCCTATTTCAGTCAACAAGCGTGTGATGGGGTGTGAGACTCTCACACTGACTTCTCACTTTTGTGCACACATTTTCTATAAATCTTCATCATTACCAGTAATCCAAAAATGTCCCTATGAGTCTGGTGAAAAAGATTACCAAGCTACCAAGCAATACTGTTTTCAGTGCAAACACGGAAGACGGGAGAATGTCCTGTGGAAGCAGGTCTAACGAGGTCTCAGGGCCTCCTGTCCCTTGTTTGCATAATAAGAGGACAGCAGTGTTGTCAGGATGATCTTCCAGGGAATGCAGCTCCCAGGCAGACCGGGACTGAGTGAAGCCGTGGTCCCTGGGAACGTCAGCCCCACCATCCTCAGTGAATGAGGACCATGTCGTGATCCCTGGGAACGTCAGCCCCACCATCCTCAGTGAATGAGGACCATGTCGTGATCCCTGGGAACGTCAGTCCCACCATCCTCAGTGAATGAGGACCATGTCGTGATCCCTGGGAACATCAGCCCCACCATCCTCAGTGAATGAGGACCAAGCCGTGATCCCTGGGAACATCAGCCCCACCATCCTCAGTGAATGAGGACCAAGCCGTGATCCCTGGGAACGTCAGCCCCACCATCCTCAGTGAATGAGGACCAAGCCGTGATCCCTGGGAACGTCAGTCCCACCATCCTCAGTGAATGAGGACCAAGCTGTGAAGACGGACAGTAAGGTCTCAAGTTTGAAAATGGAAGCAAGGGGAACTCATCAGTTCAGCATTAATCACAAATTTTGTCAAACACTGGCCATTTTATTGTTATTTTCTAGAAAAAAAAGGTAAGTACCAAGTGAAGCCTGACCTCATTTTACAAATATGAGTCATCACGTTTCAAAGCTTATTATTCAGGAATCAACAGAGACAAAATTAACTCTCATTAGAAACCCTTTTGAGAAGAAAGATGTGAAAGACAAAGGAAAATTTTTAGGTTCCAAGAAATGTTTGAGCATGTGAAACATTATCCTTCTGTTTGTGTTCATGGAAGAACTTCTGCTCATTGGGTGACTGAACCATACACGGAGATGCCGTGGTCACACTGAGCTACCGAAGACGGGGGAAGTCAACAACACAGGACAATGGACTTGCCGTTGGATGGTCCTGACAGGTGGGACGGAATACGATTCTGTAGCGCTACAGAGTCGACTTTCACACTGAAGGTCAAGATGGAAACACCAGCGCGAGCCCCTGCTGGTTCCAAAAGGTCCTTGGCTGTCCCATTGGAAATCCAGTGTGAGGAAATGTATGATACCAAGAACGCGTCAATTCAGCTAGAAGTACCTATGAGTCAGGTATGTGCTAGACATCAAGTGTGCAGCAGCCCTATTATTGCCCCCATTTTACAGCTGGCAAAACAGAGGGTCGGCAAAGACACACAGCTAGCGAGGGCAGTGCCAGAGCCCACTGTGACACAACACGTAACTTCAATTTTAAACAACGTAACAGGAGCTCAGGTAACGCACACTGAATAAATGCACGTGAAATTTCAGCCAGCAACAGCATGTAGCAGGTGTTCGAGGACACGGAGTTCAGGAGACTGCAAACTGCACTGTAGAAAGTCAGAGTTACAAAGCGCTCTGGCAACTGCAAAGAGCAGCCACCAACAGATGAAAACCAAACTGTAGGGAAGCTGCAGGGAGGCATGCTAATAACATCAGCATAAGATAAACGACCACTGTGTAATAAATATATATACATCTCTCATGAATAGATATACACATATACCTAATATGTGTGTGTATAAAGGGTAAGGCCACGGTGATTTCAAAGCAGGATGCAATGAGAAAATGATTAATAATCTACGAAGGCTTATTTTCATATTGGTTCATTTCTAATAAGATGCCAAATTCACATGGTTTTACAAACATGTTTTTATGTGTATCTGTCATCTGTACATTTATTGCCAGCATTTTTCTGCTGCCACTATGTGTGGTGGTCATTTAGGTAGAATTCTCCAGAGAGGGTTCCCAAGTTCAACAGGACACAGTCCATCCCAGGCTTTAGACTCATCACTATAAATCCTCTGGGGTCGGAACCAAAACAATACACCATCACTGAATGAGCAATGAATCACTTCTCATTGGGGACATCATTCAGTGTGTGGCTCTGTCTTTCCCTCTGAGGTTGATAAGAGATTTTCAGAGAGAAGAAAAACGAGCAGATGTGGGTCCTGCATCCCTAATGAGATGAACAGTTACAAAGAGCAGGTTTCTCTTCAGGAGGGTCACTGATTCCCATGCTTACATTCATCTAACGTTTCTGAAATACCCACCATGTGCCAGGTTGTGCATGAGGGCCCTGGGGCCGCAGAGATGCCCTTAGCCTGGAGAAAACCAGGTTTGGTGACAGACAGCCACATAGACGAATGAGCAATCAGAGCGAGGAGGTCAGGTCAATGCTAGAACTTAAAGCAGCAGTCCTTCTGGGAACATTGTGGCAAGAGATTCGGCCCAGCTTGACGGGGTTAAAAAATGCCTCCCGAGGAAATGACTGAAGTGAAGATCTTAGAGGATTTTCCATGCTGGCTGAAGCCAGAGGAGGCATGGATAATCCAAAACAGCACTTGCACATAAAATCAGATTTGTGTTTTAGAATATCAGGCATTTAATGTCATCTCATTTTACCTTCCCAATAATTTCCAAATCATTTTTCCCTCAGCTTACGTGAAGATTATTCGATACAGGGTGTGATCCCACACCCTCATAAGACAGGGTCGCTGCAGGAAGCGGCTAATCCAACAGCACAGGCTCTGAGCTGCCATCACCACTCAGAAGTGGGGGTAGAGATTCACCCCTTCGTCCAGATGTTCTCCTCTGGGCCATGTGCACAAGAACGCTGCGCTACAGGAACTTCACGTTGTCACAGGCACAAAAGGGCAGGGAGCAGGAGAGCTTTTCAAAGGACTGTCCAGGAAGAAAGTAAAACTAATTATGCTGGACTACGTTTACACTCCCGCTTCCACCGTTTTGCCCTGCGTGACGGTGTGCGGCTGCGGCTGCCTCGGAGAGCCCGCCCCGTGGCCCTTGAACCCGGAGCACGTCTCAGGGACTTGTCGGTGCTGATCCCCCTTTCAGTGGAGACTGTGCTTGCTTAGCTGGGAAGAGAAAGTGGGCAGGAAGAAGGAAGGATCAATGAGCAGATAAGCTCCACCAGGTTTAAAAACGCTTAGTCTATCATGAGTGCTTCTGCTATGTAACAGATCCAGCCCAGGTTCCCTGCCACCTGCTGTGCTCGTCACCAGTTAATTGGGCAGCATCTGATACAGTGATTCTCACTTTCCCAGTCCAGACCTGCTCCTACATGCAATTTCCCTGTGCCCTTGAAGCATGCAGCCTAATAAATCAGCACTTTTGATGACAAAGAAAAACTGAGCACACGCGGTATGGAGAGCAGATGAGAAAAGAAGCCAACACAATTGGTTCCGCGCAGCCTCACACCACAGCCCCCCACTCACAGGTCCCGGCCAGCCAAGCGCTCCCACTGATTGTAAGCGGCTACCTGGCTACCTCTGCCGGCGCTCCCTGCTGACAGCGCGGAGCTGAGGTTTGCGTTTCTGCTTTCTAGCACATGTCACTGAAAGAGCTGTGATCCGGAGTTTCATTTACAATAGTTTAAAAATTCATAAAATGTCTATATGTCTTGCCTTGGAGTGTGCATTTGAGAATATACACTCTCTTTGATTTTTTCTCCTTACTTCCTCAAACACATTCATACACACATGCCCACATGTGTGCACCTGTCACGCACATGTACACATGGTACACATCAACATGCATGTACATGACACACATATACACATGCCACACCTGCACACGTGTATACATGTCACACATACTGCACCCTCATACACATGCACATGTGAGCCCACATGTACCCACATGCACACACCACATAATGCACATACCACACACAAGCACATATACACATATGTACATGCCACACACATGAAAACATACCACACATGCCCATCACACATGCACAACTGTACATATGCCACACATGAGCACACATACCCACAAGCACACATACCCACACCACATAATGCACA